CTAGTTTTCTGCCACCACGAACAACACTGTAGTAGACGGCTTTGTGCTACCATTAACAACTGGTGCTGTTACTTCTGCGAGATCGGGTCCCCGTCCTCGAAAAGACGGCTGAATCTCAGAATGTGCACGTTGTTCATTTTAATGGATCCTGCTAGATTATTTCCTTCCCAAGTTATATTTCCGCCAGCAATTTTCATTGCAATGTATAAGGCCGCTCATTTCCACGCACTCACGCCAGCCTCAGAGGGTGCACCGTATTCGCCCCTCAGATTAGAAAAATGAGAAGAGGAGGGGCCGCCTGTGCCCCTGCACCCACATGCGCACCTGCCGCGCTGCGCCAGGGGGGCCGGTGACAGACGCTGACTGTCACCCGTGTTCGAGTATGTGTGGATGCTCCCTGAGGACATTAAAAGTGATCTTTTCAAAAAGGTATTTTAAGCACATTCCCTCTGGTTCATGCACACGCCTCCTGCACAGACCTCCTTCTGCCCCGCAGCCTTGAAGGTGCCGCTCGCAAGTCTTCCTATTGTCCTACTTCGGGCCATTTCTCTTACTGCCCAGAGCCCTGCCTGCTGGGAGGTGCCACCCTTCAAGCCTCCACCCTCCCTGGGGAGCAGGGGTACAGTGCAGCGGGAGTCTGTGCCCAGGCGTGCACCAGCACAGCCAGCAGAGCCATCTGCAAACCGCCCTTAGCAGGTAGTCACGCAGCCACCGCCTGGAGCCGAAGGAAGGTGCTCCACAGTGACAGGTGACCGGGCGGGCTAGGCTACCTGCTTGGGGAGCCCCAGCTGTGCTGCAGACCGCTTCCGTTTTGTGCTATCTGGCCGCTGGAGATTTGCTGCTGTCCCCTGGAGCCAGCCTCGTGGGTGGTCTCAAGACCCCGGGTCGTGGTGCTGCATCTCCTTCCCCGTCACCCACTGTCTCCGGCTCAGATGCTCCATCTGCGCCCAGCCCTGGCCGCCACAGGCGGCTCTTTCAGTGGCGTGGCGTTCTCTGTGCAGATGGGACGACTTCGCGCCAGAACCCAGGAGTCTACACTGGGGCTCTCTTACCGGTGTCCGCCATAAAACCTACATGGAGCCTCTTCTCGTTACGGGCAAGTCTAGTGCCACGAGAGCTGCCAAGCTCACGGGCTGCTTTGTCCTTCCTGCTCTCAGCCCTGACCGGAGCTGCAGCCTCTTCGTGTCGCCAGGCATGGGGCTCAGGGCAGTGTCCTCGAGCATGGGATACGCTGCCCGTGGCATCCAAGCATGGCAACGACTACCAAGCACGGTGCTTCCCTTTGGGTGGAGAAGTCCCAGGCACAGTAATTTGTCTCCCACGTTAGGAGGAGCGCCCTGCCACGCCCCAGAGCACGGGGCCCCCAGCAGCTCCACCGAGGCAGTGGGTGCCTGAGTCTTCGTGGGGTTCACGTCCCACCCTTCAGAGCACGTGGATTTTACCAAGGACGCTGGCAGATTGGCTCTTCCAGCTCTGCGAACGCTCTGTATCGACATAGCGGCCCAGCGGGACGTTCGAAGAACGTCGACAACAGCAGATTTTCAACATTTTGGCCTCGGGACTCCTTTACGACCTTCAAAATTGTCGTGTGACCCCGCGAGGCTTTGTTTACACGGGTTTTATCTATGTATATTTAATGGAGTATAAATTTAAATAGAGAAATTTAAAACGCATCTGTGTATTAGCCCATTAAAAGTAAAAGAATCGACCCATTACTCGTTGACGTAAATGACATCTTTTTGAAAAAGAACTCAAAAAATTTTTAAGCGGCATTGTCTGACATTTTTGCAAATCTCTTCAAGACAGCTGGAATCTCATATCTTCTCCTGCATTCCATCTGTTGTGGTGTGTTATTTTTGGTTTAAGTTTATGAAGAAAACCCAGCCTCGCAGAAATATATAGCTGACAAAGGAGGAGCGTTTTAATAGTCTTTTCAGATAAATTCTGGACGTCTTGCCGTGGGGGTGTAGCAAACCTCAGTCAGCGGTAGCTATGCCAAGGTTTGTCACAGCATGGCATCGGAAATCGTAGCGCGCACATTTTTGTGCCGTTAGGTTAAAATGCATTGCTCCATTCTGCCCTTCGAAACGGATCTCTTGTCACTCTGTGATCATGTAGCATCGTGCCCTGGCCGTTTGGGTAGTGCTGGCTCACTGAATTATCCAGACCTTCCAGATGTTGACACCGTTTATTACACAATATCAAAAGGCACATTTGTTAGCATCCCCACCGGTCTCATCAGAGAGGCCTGTAAGTATTGGGAAGCTGTCAAGTTCACAGTGGCAGACGTGAGTTTTCCAAAATTCTAATTTTCACTTGAAAGCTCACATTTCATGATGAACGACAAATACTGTCAGCTGTTTTCCTTGAAGTGAAGGCTCATTCCATTTATCCTGAGAGAGTATCTGCCAAATACCTGAGGCTGAATAATGATAGCTTATCTGTCGGTAGCTCTTTCAAGTGAAAATAGTGTTTCCTAAAAACGCTGTTAGTTCGACTCATTTCATTTTAATGGAATCATCTCTTTAAAGACCCAATTTCCAAATACAGTCACAATTCTGAGGGACTGGGGAGGCGGGGTAGGATTTCGACATAGACATTTTGAGCAGGAGAGAGGCACAATTCAGCCCATAGATGGTAAACCAAGAAACTGTATTCCTCAAAGGTGGCATTTCAGAGATGCTTTATGGCAAGTGGGAAGTTTATACCTGTTTACATTTTGAAAGCTAAAATTATGGCCCCTCTTTAAGATAAAAAAAGCTGGAACGTTCTGATTTTCCTTTGCGTCTGTACGGGATAAACCGGAATTTCTCGACAGACATTGGCTCTTCCGGGATTACTCCATCGGATCTCTTCTCCGTGGGGGCGCTCTGCTTAGTTTTTAACTTCACGATGCCCCGATTTTTACAAAGTATCCTCGGTTATATCCGGCTTGGTCCTTTATTAGGCAGCTGCTCACTTAACTATCAGTACAGACGGCTGCACCACACAGTGCTCGTAGGGGATGTAATTGCAAGCCCACGATGCCTGCGAAGGTTTACATCAAAAGATACGGTCATCAAGGCCTGCCAACCAGAGATGCAGCCCAGCCACGCCCCCACAGACCCCGACACACGAACCCCTGCAGAACTGCTCGGAATATTCTTTTCAAAGAAGAGGTTGCATAGGCGACATCTCATTCCTGTCGGTTCCGTGACCCCAGAAGGGGAATTGCTCTAAATAAGCACGAGTCTTCCCCTGGCCTAGAGCCACATGCGGTGGCGCTGCACACAGGCAGCCGCCGTCTGCGGTTTCGAAGGCGTATTGGATGAAGCAGCTCTGCGAATGCGCTCTTATTTAATGAGTCATATTCTCATCGAAGATCCCTAACAGTATGTTCTCCTCCGAGTCCCAGGGCAGGACCCCCGCTCATCTCCGCGTGTCCCCTGACTTCATGAGAAACCAAATCTTGTACCAAAACACATGTCTCATTTTCAAATAGCTAAAGGGCTTCTGGCCAAATTTGCGGCCACCCACTTATAAGAAGACAGGATTTTATGACACCCATCGTGTGCACTTAAAAAATGATTAGTGCCGGCTTGTTTTCCTTCCTGCCATCTCATTTTCCCTATTCCAATTTATTTTGTCTCGCTACGTCACGTGCCTAGTCGTGAAGTGCTTTGAATCATAACTTCTGGGCAGCGGCTTTCGATTTTTTCTCAGTTGCTCTGGACGAGCGTATGGTTGCGGGAGTACGTGTGGGGAAGGAGTTACATGCCCCCCCCTTTTTAAAGCGAGATAGAGCTTTCACGACAACTCGTATGCAACTTTCCCTTCACTGGGAGCCAGCTTGGAGCCCCCTGAAGAATCTGTGCAGCTTCTCTGAGGTGCCAAGGAAACGGAGTAAGAGTTTCTGGCTCCAAGACCTCAGCCACCTCCAGGAACAGCAGTAACTGCTATCTCGCCTTTTCTCCTTAAAGGAAAACAACCTCCTACACAACACTGGGGGTGTGTGCGAAGGAGGCGACGATGTACTGAAATCCTCCAGAGAGGACGGACCAGCGATGCCATCTTAGACCGTCAGCCTGGAACACCTGTGCCACAGGAAAGCGCCTACACAACGCCGATGACCGCTCCGGGCATCCAGACCACCCCTCGGAGGACATGGGGAGGAGCGGCCGGAGGAATGCCTCACGGAAAGTTCCTTGGTAAACTTGTTCCTGGCATGGAATTCGTCGTAGGGACAGGCGACAGAACCACGGAGAGCACCAAACGTAGCGATGTGCTCGGGCGGGGAGAAGCGGCAGCACCACGGACAGCGCCAGCGCTGCGCGCTCTGGGCCGCGCGCGCAGGGAGAGGCGACCTAATCAGCTGACGCCTTACGTAGGCTGGATCCCCAGTTGGATAAGGCAGGTCTGGGTGGGCGCGCCAGGGTCCGCTCTCTGGAGCTGCAGCCCCAGACTGGGTGCGGAGGGGGCGGGGGAATAGCAGAAGGCAGGTCCCAGAAAGCAGGTCCCTGCTCGGCTTCCCCGGCACGCAGCTGCCTGGAGAGAGGGGCGGGTAGGGCGGCGAGGCGGCGAGGAGCGGTGCTCTGACGCACCGGTCCCGCTCCAGGCACCCACACGCTCCGGGGCGCCCAGCTTCTCTCCGACTCGGCTCTGGGCAGCCAGACTGCCTTCTCCGTGAGATGAGGAGCCCTGGGCGTGCGACAGCCTCGGCGGGCCCTGGCTGAGAGACGCGGCCCCTCGGCTCTGCTTTCCTGGCCGCGGAGGGGTCCAGACCTGCCGCACTGGCAGCGCGGAGCCCTCCGTCCGCTCCCCCACGCCGCCTCCCACAGATGCTCACCGGGGGGAGTTGGGGGCCAGTGTCAGGCACTCCCCAGAAACCCCGCCAGCGGCCAGAGGTTGCAAAAGTCCTGCGCCCTCCGCCGCTCTGCGCGCACCTGCGCCCTCCGTTCCTGTGCGCGCCGCCTCTGCGTGCCCCCTCTGCGCGCCCCCGAGCTGGGTCTCCTGACCCCGAGATGGACGTGTCCGGGAACCTGAGCTCCTTCTCCCTCTCCAGCCCCTCCCCTCTGGAGACCAACCGCAGCGCCGGCACCGAAGACCCGCGCCCCAACCCGCCCCTCCCCTCCGTCTTCGGAGCGCTTGTTCTGACCTTGCTGGGCTTTCTGGTGGCAGCGACCTTCGCCTGGAACCTGCTGGTGCTGGCGACCATTCTCCGCGTGCGCACCTTCCACCGAGTTCCGCACAACCTGGTGGCGTCCATGGCCATCTCCGACATGCTGGTGGCCGCGCTGGTCATGCCGCTGAGCCTGGTGCATGAGCTGTCCGGGCGCCGCTGGCAGCTGGGCCGGCGGCTGTGCCAGTTGTGGATCGCGTGCGACGTGCTCTGCTGCACGGCCAGCATCTGGAATGTGACGGCCATCGCGCTGGACCGCTACTGGTCCATCACCCGCCACCTGGAATACACGCTGCGGGCCCGCAGGCGCGTCTCCAACGTGATGATCGCGCTCACCTGGGCGCTGTCCGCGGTCATCTCCCTGGCGCCGCTGCCCTTCGGCTGGGGGGAGACCTACTCCGAGGGCCGCGAGGTGTGCCAGGTGAGCCGCGAGCCCTCCTACACCGTGTTCTCCACCGTGGGCGCCTTCTACCTGCCGCTCTGCGTGGTGCTCTTCGTGTACTGGAGGATCTACAAGGCCGCCAGGCTCCGCGTGGGCGCCAGGAAGACCAACAGCGTCTCTCCGGCGCCGGAGCCCGTGCAGGTGGGTGCTGCGGTGGCCTTTGGAAACACTTCCCTGGCTTTTGTAAGGTTTCGTGCCCAGCGCACCATCTCCCAAGTCTAGAAAGTGGAACTTCCGGGGGTTTGGGGGGAAGAGGAGGAAGGGGAGGGCTTCGGGGACTTCCTGTGCTCTGCCATGCTCGGTGTCACAGAGCTGACGATGTCCTTTACCATCTCTGCTGGCTTACTTCCTTCTGCGTAAAGTGCGGGATCTGGACTATATAATTCTACAGGGTCCCATTTGGCTCTAAAACTTAGGGTGTCTGGATAAGTTGGTGTCTGGGGCCATGCCGCCTAAACTTGAAGCTTCCTCACTTAGGGTGGGGGTGTCCAGCAGAGGGAAGGGGCGGATGGTAACGTCACCCGCAGGAAGACAGCCGTGCCTCGGGCAACACAAATTACCGTCTCGACCCAGTCTATTTTTCTCTCTTTGCAAATTAAAGCAACTACTTTTGCCAACCATGGCATCTCCTGGATAACGAGCTGCTCTCTGCAGCTGTTTACGCCCATCTCAGAGCCTGCATTTATCTGCTTCCGCTGCCTTGTGCTCTGTTCTGGGTCCAGCCCCACCGTCCCCGAGGGCTGTGCATGCAGCCAAGGACCACCTATCTGCTTCCTGAACGTGGGCAAAGCCACGGGAGGAAATTAAAAATCTAAGGCAGACAGTGCCCGGCTCCTTGTAAGTGGCACGTATGTTTGACAACTGCTTCGGCGACATCTCTCCACCCACACTTTCCTGCTCGCTGTTAACTCTTAATAATCTGATCCTGTGGTTCAGGATTCAGGAACTACATGAAGACCGAATCCATTGGATGTGGACTCTTACCCCGCCACACACACACACACACACACACACGCCCCAACTCATTGCCAAGGATGATCCCGTGACCTCAATTCACATATTTGACTTAATCAGAAATCTACACGGCCCTCATTTCTGTTGTGGGCTCTGGGAAAACAAGGCAAATTCGGTTAAACACACCGAGCACATACCGTGGGCTCGGGGCAAGCTTGAAAAAATGATGAAGACGTCATCTTTGCCGTGAGGAGTTCGGGCTGGTGAAGGAGACAGACATCTACCATGATACTACTGCCGGGGGCCAGTTCCAAGCACGATCAGTCAATCAGGCGTGGAGGGACCAGGGGAGGAGCTAGAGGGTGTCAATCTAGAAGCAAGAAGGATGAGGGGGTCAGAGCTACCTGTCTTTCGATCTAGAATAACGGTTTCGACCAGGGGTGATTCCCCCCCCCCAACCTCAGGGGACATTTGGAATGTCCGGAGACACTTCTGCTGATCAAGACTTGGGGGGAGGGTCCTAACAAGTGTAGCATGCAGAGGTCGGGGTGCTGCCGAACTCTGCACAGAGCACGGGCCAGCACCCCAACAGAGAAGAATTCTGCAGACCAAAACGTCGACAGTGCCAGGTGCGCCAGGGGCGGGAGCCCCCTGATGGATGAGCTTCCTGCGTGGAGCCGGTCCGCGTGCGCGCCCGCCCGCCCCACTCCAGCTCAGATGCGGAGGACCCGCCACGCCGAGGGCCCTCGCGCCGGGTCCTCTTCCGCCACATGCTCGCGCAGGCAGACGCCGCGTGCGATGGGCACCAAGCGCCCTTGGAGAGGGAAAAGCAGCCCCAGCGTGTCCCCGAGGCCTGACCCCGGGGAGGTGGGGACCTCGCGCGCTCTGTTCGCAGACAGCGGAAGCGAAGCATTGTGGGAGCTCCAGGCGTTCTGCCACGTGACTTTCGAAAACTCGGTCCCTTGGCTCTGTGAGGCCTCCCCCAGCAGAAGCGAAGCATTATGGGAGCTTCAAGCGTTCTGCCACGTGACTTTCAAAAACCGGGTCCCTTGGCTCTGCGAGGCCTCTCGGTGGCGCTGGGCTCTGCATGTAACGCGGGGCCGCCTCTGGCTTCATGTTTCCGCGAAGAGTTCGGCCAAGCCGGGTCCCCTGACTCCTCCGTGGCAGCAGGCGCCAAGGCTGCGGGTGGCGGTTCTACCCGCGATCAGCCGTGTTGCCCGGGGGAGCACACACTTCCTCCCTGTTTCTCAGTCCGCTTGGATTTACTGAAACGCACGCTGGAAGCCAGAGCTATGTCAGACACTGAGGTGGGGACTGGCGACAGGACAGACAGCTGAACTTACTGCTTGCCGGCCCGCGGGAGAGCTGTGCCGCTTTGGCCCAATCTCTCTGAGCAGAGAGAATGCGGATTTTCAATGGTGTCTGGGGAGTGTGGACATGAGGGGCTGGTGTCAGGGGCTTGTGGCGTCCTGGGAGCAGCTTTGTTGGTTGGAGGTCACTGGGGTGGGACTTTGTGGCACTGAGCCCAGCGGGCTGCTCTACTCTCAGAAAGCAAGTCCATCAAGAGAAACTGTCCGTGGTAGACAGAGAACGCTTAAGACCGCCTCTGGGCTGCAGAACGCTCAGGCTTGCCGTGGGTTTGTGCGGACGCTGGGTTCTCTGTCCCCCGCTCTTGACACCCGTTCCAGAGTGCGAGATGGAGCGTCGCAGGCGGCCCAGACCTTCGCCGGTGTGATCGGCTCCCCTCAAGAGACAGGTTCGTGCCTGGAGACCTGGTGCCCCCGTCAGTCTCCGTGCTTTTAAACCCTCTGTCCGGGCGGTGCTGCGCAAAGCTCGTGAAGTCCTGGGCCACACGCACGGAGACAGACCAGGGTCACAAGGAGCATCATGAAAAGGGCCCAGAGACCTCCCAAGTTATGACTCAAGGCCATCCTATCCCAACCAGGAAAGCAAGTCCCAAGCTCTCCCTGCGTCCGTCTGAGGTGCTCGGCTGCCTTTCCTCTTAGCCTAAAAAGAGGTTGTTTCACCCCATCTGCAGTGCAAAGCCGGGTGCAGCTTGGCGTGCTCGCGATGGGGGAGACCCCTCCCGGGTCGGCCAGAGGGAAATCCATCAGCCAAGACCACCTGGGCTGACATATTACGCCAGTTTGTCGTGGCCCCGAGTCCTGTGAACGTAGCCTGTGTCATTTCCTGCCAACCAGTTTTTACACGAAAGCCTCGTGTCGTCCACCTCCTGCAAGTGGTCCCCACGCTCGGCGATCTTTTCCGTGAAGGAGTCCCGTCTCTCTGGGCCCTTCGTGCGGAGACGCAGTCCATCTAGTGGTCCCGGGGGTCCTGACCGACGGTCCCACTCGGCAGCAGACCTTGGTCCTGGGCTGACACGAAAAAGCCCGATTTCGACACAGGGTAAAGAGGCCAGGAGCGGCACGAGGACCAGGCGGGCTCTGTCGCAGCTGCAGGTGCGCTGTCTGCCGGCGGCGTCACGACAGCCACCCCTCGTGGGGCCGTCCGCCTGTCCCAGGGCTCCTGGCGTGACAGCCAACAACCCCGCTTCTGCCTCTGGGCATTCTACGAAAGGCTCGGTTTCGGTCAGACCGCGGAAGGCATCAAGTCATTCACACCAGTGTTCACTTTTGAAAGACACCTGAAGATGATGTTTCCACAGCAAGTGAAGGAAGCGGAGGAATGTGAGGTGTCTTCTCTCTGACCAATTTTATAAACCCTGGCAGGGGCCACGGTTCAGCCATTGAACGATTTGGCTTTCTGTTAAAAAACTGGATTTTATGGGAGAGACTGGACTACTTATTGTATATCAAATCTGGTACCGTCTCTTTTATTTTTGATTAAAAAAAAATCAATAAACCATAGTAAGTTAGGATTTGGTACTGGTTCCGTGGGCGGCAAATATACGTCTTCAATTACAGAAACACAATCGTGAGACTTTTCTCCCAGTAGCCAAGGATTACACAGCGCTGCTTTATGAGTCTCGAACCAGCAGGTGTGTCAATGAGTCACAATTAACCAATCGGTAAAAAAAATAACGTTGGGCGGTTTCTGTTAGCACCAGGGATTTCCTACGTGCCACTCGAAGGCTTCATAGAAGTTCCGAAGACGGGCCGACCAGTTTAACTGGTGCCTGCGACTTCCCCGAGGCGAGGAGGCGAAGCCTGGAGGGCTGAGCTAAGGGTGAACTTCGACAGGCAATGTCTCTTCGATGGGTGCCGTGCTGTCGGGTTAAGCCGCCTAGAACGTGGCCTTTTTTATGAAAGGGCAGGTTCATGACAACACGGGCAGAGCCCACCCGCGATCTCGCGCATCCCACCGCGGTTCATCTTTCTGTCTGCGGCGTGTTTTCTCCGCGAGGACGCGAGGACCGTTGCTGTTGCCTCTGTGGTGTCTTGAATCGTTCGCGGTGCAGGTTTTCTCACGTGTAGATCAGGCAATCGGATCACGTGTAGAGCAGCGGTCCGTTCCACGTGGGAGCCGAGCCCACCTGCTAAATCGGTAGGAGCGCTACATACGCTAGAGAGGGATTTCCCCGATGCCGATGCTGACATCTCAGCTACAGGTCGGCAGGCAGGATCGGTCAAGGGTTTTCGCAGCTGGAAGCTTTCTAGTAAATAAAATGTACTTTCCCTCAAGCGAGCCTTTCAAAAGTTGCTCTCCGGCCACAGATTTGTGCGTCCTTATCTTCGTCTCGTATAATCGTCTTTGGTAAAGAAATTTCTTCTCTGTTTTTAGTTTTTTTTTTTTAACTGATGGCAAGTCGATTAGCTTGTTGCCTTTTCAGACAGCTAAAATTTCAGGCCGAGGGGTCTGTCGCGCTGTAATGGTGGGGATAAAGGCAGGGACACCCAGGTAAATGGCCGAGCTGTATGCTGCATGCCACGTGATAAACAACCCTTCTTAAAAGTTTGGAAGGACAGGGGGTGGTCGGCTCCCCGTGAAGCTTCTGCTCACCTTTTCCAGGTGAAGGCCTCTGCTCAGCAGCCCCAGATGGTGTTCACCGTCCGCCACGCCACTGTTACGTTCCAGACGGAAGGGGACAGCTGGAGGGAACAGAAAGAGCAGAGGGCCGCGCTGATGGTGGGCATCCTCATCGGGGTGTTCGTGCTCTGCTGGACCCCCTTCTTCGCCACGGAGCTCGCCAGCCCGCTCTGCGCCTGCGACGTCCCCGCCGTCTGGAAGAGCCTCTTCCTTTGGCTCGGCTACTCCAATTCCTTCTTTAACCCGCTGATCTACACGGCCTTCAACAAGAACTACAACAGCGCCTTCAAGAGCTTCTTTTCCCGGCAGCGCTGAAGCCGGGGGGCCGGGGAGAAGAAGGCGCCGGTCCCGCAAATCAGCGAACTTCCCGATTTCACCTGCGTCCCCCTCCCCACCCAGCGCCACGCGGAAGAGACAAAGCCTTGCCGCCCGCCAGCGTCGCCTTCAGAACCCGAGCCGCCCGCCTCCCCGCGCCTCGGCAGGAACGTGGCCTCCGCGGGCAGTTTGTTTCTGCGGCGTTGTCTAACGTATCCACTATTCCTCATTCTGCAACTAACGGCCCCGGACTTGGCCCGCAGCGTGCCCGCCCCTCTCCAAAACCCGCTCCAGCGTGGTTACCGTCCTTGTCCCTGAGAAGCCAGACGGGGCAGTCGAGAGGAAGGCGGTGAAGCCACGTGGGCAGGTTGAGAATGCAAAATGAGTTGTAACGGGAGCAGGTGGGGCGCGGGCGGGAAGCCGTAATCTCAAGGGATCTGGAAGGGTCCCCATTTCATATATTCCATTCTATGGTCCTGGTAAGTTCGCCCCATATGTATATTGTATGTCCCCGTATTTGGCCACAAAATATCATCTCTAAACATATGAAAGTACATAGCGACATCCATGAGACCGGTGAATATTGGCTCTATGGTTTCATGTGTGGCAACGGGGCACGCACACACACACACACACACACACACACACACACACACAACTACGGAGAAGGCACATGCTCCAGCGGCAGCCCAGAATCTCAGAAAAGGAACGAAAAGTCAGGTCGGACACCTCCTCCCGTTTTGAAGCGGCCGTTCCCAAGCCGTGGCAGAATCTGCAGGTTTCGTCGAATCTGTCAGACTCGCTCATTGGCTTTGGCTGTGAGTTTCATCCACGTGGAATGTTTTCACGTGTTTGTCCTCCGGGCACGAGACTGGGGTAGAACCATTGTCATGAAGCGTCGGCTTCTTACGTATGGTTTTATAACCAAGAAGCAGGAAGGCGCATTCACCCAACGCATGCACTTTAGATGAGATAGCTGATTAATTTGCGAACTGCTGATTTTTATTGGTATGTGAATGCCTGCCACGAGGCCGACACCGGTAACGAAGGAGAGAGGCAGAAATACTACAAAGCGTGCCATATCCGTCCTCTACGAAGCGTCACGTGTATATAACTGGTGAGGCGAGACGTTACGTGATGATGCAGCGTCTCTACGATCATATAAAACCCAGGCCATTATGCGAAACCTTAAAAAGACCTTGGCCAATAGAACCATGGTCTGCTGTTCCCGGTTCCTCGAATGCATGAACTTAAACATTAGGAACGATAACAACCTTTGAATCATTATGATACATGTAATTGTATACACGTATTCTTTTGTATGTAATAAATCGTGTCAATAAGGTTTCCGAAAACAGGAAATTTGTGTTAACCCGTGGTCTTGGTTTGAAGTCTCGCATTTGTTGCCAAGGTGGTTTCTATCCAAAGGTGAGCAAATGCTCACAGCCACGAAGTCACGACTAAGGGCGCTAAACGCCGACCTCTCATCTCGGGAGGCAAATCCGTTCAAGAGATCACTTGAAAATGTCCTTAGCTGTTTCTTCTTTCTGCCCATACCACTCGAGGTGCCGAACCCATGAGATTTTTAAATACAGACTGTTCACTATTAAGTCGCCTCTCGCACGGCTGCTTGGACGGAGAGACATCACCGAATGTGACAGCTCTCCAGCGTTTGCATAAGGGACGTGCTCCCAGCTGCACTGTGTCCCCTGCGGAGGGCGGAACCCCCAGGCCCAGAGAACCTGGTGACATGACACCAGAACCAAGAGCGAAAGTTTAAAAGTCTGTTCTATGCCAAAGTCCACGTGGAGTTTTCCATTCTACTCCGTAATACCATGTTTGTCTTACTGTCAAAAAAAAAAAAGGTTTATTTCTGTCAGTTTTCTGTGACATGAAGCTGTAGGAAGACGTCCCCCATTTGTCTGGTGGCTCCAAATACTCCTTGATTCTATGTACCTTGCTGGAGAAAGACGTCATTCTAGCATTAAGTTCAACCTCCTACGGAACTGATCGTTAAGATTTTCTAAGACCAATAAGTCTCATCACCGTTAGCGCGTCCCAGACGTCACTTAAAATGTACACTGTACAAACACACTCTCTGGATGCTACCTGGAGCAGGAAACTCGGTCTGTGAGGGGAGGAAGTGGCTTTTGCCTCCATTTCGATATTGGAAGTTGTTTACGACCAGGTAAGAGACGTTGTCGGAGGCCGCGTGGACTGGGCACAACTCAGCAGTCTGTGGGACACCTTCGCTCTTGGCTGCCAGCATCAGGTAAGTGGTCAACATGCACCATAAACAGAAGGTGATAGCTACAAGTGTCAGCCCCTGTCCCTGTGCCTGTCGCATGACCCTCCTTACTGGGCACTCGGACTAAGTTCCCCTGCCCCTTTGTTCAGCCCCCCGGGGAGCATGTCAATAAAATGACCGCCCGCTGGAGCCCGTGAAAGGGAGGACACCACGGTCAACGCCTGCACCGTGGACCGTGAGCCCCTGGTGGGCTCCGGTCCCTGCCCGCGCCCCAGCTCGTCTAGCTACCGTGCGCTCCACAGGTGGGCTCGGGGGAGGTCGCGCTCTGCTCTGCGAGGCCGGAGCTGAGACCCTGGGCCGGACTCTGCCACCAGCTCCTCTGTGTGTGTCAGGCCCTCCTGAGCCTGCCAGTGTCCCCATGGCCCCGGCTCAGAGAAGGCGGGCTGAGAGCGCATGGGGGCAGGGCGGCTAGAGGGGGCTTCTCACTGGCTTTCCTCATCCCTCCTGCCCGCAGGGTGGGGAGGCGGGACAGGGGACAGACAGGCGGTGATCACAGACCTGCTGGTCTGGCACCAGCCAGGAACCACGGTGTTAATAGATATGTTCCCTCGTCTACGGCCATGCCATCCCGAACGAGCCCGATCCCATCTGATCTCGGAAGCTAAGCAGGGTCAGGCCTGGTTAGTACTTGGATGGGAGACCGCCTAGGAAGACCAGGTGCTGTAGGCGTAACATATAAGGGATTGTAGCTGACCAGGTCCTTGCAATCTATGAGGTCAACCAAGAGTTGCCTCGCCTAAAAAAATAAAATAAAATAAGATACGTTCTCTCAGACATTATGGCCAAAGGGATTGCCTTTCAGCATCACCAAATATTGTCTCTTAGAATCTTTGTCATTGGCTGGTTTGCCTTATGAGCTAAAACTTCTTCCTATATCTTAGGGCCAATCCAATGTTGTAATAAGGTCAAAGAGGAAGGAAGGGTTCAGAAGGGTGACTCACCCCTTGACGCTTCACAAGCGTGGCCTCATTCGAGGAACCAGAAATAACACCCCAGCTCTTCTACCCATTTAGCCGTCTTAAAGAAGGTCAACAGGTGAATGTGACAGGTAAGTGGGCCAGTGGGTTCTTCGTGTCACTGAAAACACGGTTTAAAAAAAAAATGGAGTTTGGAGACAACTCTGTGCGTGTGTGTGATTCACGAGAACATGCACGGCTGTGACCTTTAACAGCCGGCGGGGGGGCCCTCGGCTCTGTGCCCCTGACACCGAGCAAGGAGCAGAAGGCGCAGGCGCTGTGCTCACGGCACCTGCAGCCCCGAGGCCCGTGCCCCCCCTCCTTCCGGAGGCCATGTCCTCCTCCACGTGGCTGCCCGCTTCTCAGGCACAGTCCCACACGCTCGCCCACGGGGATGAGCGTGGTCGTGGCACCTGCTGGGGCTCGCCTGACCGCTCTTACCGTTTACCATCACGGTTTCCTAATATTATGAAACGCCGGCTTCCAATTGAACGTTGCTGTCAGCTTGTCCAGCGCCAGAGTAAACCCTGCTGGCGTTTTTATTACGGTTGCCTTAAGTGTCTAAAGGCTTAAATTGACTTAAGGGAGTCTTATCTACGACACTCAGTCATCCCGTCCGAGAGCGAAGGGTTATGATACGCCCACCGCTCGTCCCTCGGTGACCTGGCCCGGAGCCTCTCCACGTCTGCAGGAAGCGTCCGGGCTCCCGCGCCTCCTGCCAGGTGAGTCACCAACTTGCGTGTCTCCAGCCCGGGGACAGAGGTCCAGCCTCGGTGCTGTGCGAGTCCTCTGCTGAGCCTTGCCCTGCTCTCCTGGAGTGGGGGGGAGTATTTGTAACTTTCAGGGGTTTTCACCCCACCCCCCACCCCCGCCTCCAATCTTTCCTAGAAAAAGCAGAGGAATAAACGCAGAATGTCAGACCAAACGGACCCCCAGCCGAGTGTCACCTTTGCTAGCGGAGTCCCCGGTCACAAGCAGCTCTCAGAGCAGAAACTCGAAACCAGATGGTTTTTCTTCAACTTCCTTTTCCACAGCCGGCACCTCCCGGTTAACTCAGTATCACTGCCACGTCCTCTCGTTAACTCATCGGGTACGTGCCGCCAGCCCTGGCTTCATCGGTGACCGGTGACCGCAGCAGAAAACCGAGGCCACCTCCCTGCAAAGCCTCTTGCTCCAAACACCCGCCGAGGGACTGCTGTTTTTGTCCTAAAAGATAGAGACACACGTCCTATCTGGTGAGTTAAATATGGTTTCCCGTCGAGGAATATGCGTTTATTCCTTCTCTAAGCTGAAGACCAAATGTATCGGTCACCTTAAAAAACAAACACGTGGAAGTGGGGCGGGCACCCAGTTTTATAACTTTTCGTCAGTTTTTTTTTGCTTATCGGGAGCATGAAAATACACACGTGTTTCAGACCCGGCGAAATGATTTCCTGGAAACTAGACAAGACGGCGCCGCTGCCCACGATCTCACGGGCCCGCGGTCATTCGGTGGCCCTTGAGGAACTTCAGATCCGTGTGAAAACAGAATGTATCGATGAGGAAAGCGGTGGTTTTTCTCTTGCACATAAGTCAAGCAGCTGCCCGCAATGGCCGACCTAAAGCTGTCCCAAGTGCCACGCACACCCCGTTGTCCCTTGTTCTGCTGAAACAGTCCCTCCTTGAAGGTCACGCGGACGCAGCGGAGGCCGCGGCCTAGGAAGGTTTTCACTCGCGTCACCGGCTGCCCCACACTC